CGGCAGCGTCTGCCCTGCCCAGCGGGAGAGTAACTTCCCACCGCAGCAGCTGCTTGTCATGCTCAGCCGTTGGGTCGCCTTGCAGAGGAGACCAACCAGCCACCAAACTTTCCCACTGTGGCTGGGAATTAATTGTCACAGAATCCCAGAATTGCCCAGATTAGAAAAGCCCTTTAAGCCCATCGAGTCCAACCATGAACCCAACACTGACCAGTCCCCAACTAACCCATGTCCCTCAGCACTGTGTCTACACGACTCTTCAATCCCTCCAGGGATGGGGACTCCACCACTGCCCTGGGCAACCCCTTCCAATGCCTCAGAACCCTTTCAGCAAAGAAATTCTTCCTCACATCCCATCTCAACTGCCCTGGGCACAACTGGAGCCCATTTCCTCTTGTCCTGTCACTTGGTCCTTGGTTGAACAGACCCACCCCCACCTCTCTCCACCCTCCTCCAAGGGACTTGGACAGAGCCAGAAGGTCTCCCCTCAGCCTCCTTTTCTCCAGGCTCAACACCCCCAGTTCCCTCAGCCAGGAACTCAGCACACTTGTGCTCCAGACCCTTCCCCAGCTTTGTTGCCCTTCTCTGGACACGCTCCAGCACCTCCATGTCATCTCTTCCTGCTCTGTTTGTAGCTCTTTCGCTGGCCTCACTACGGGAAGCTTGTCATGGGAGAGATGCTGTCGATTAAGGTTTACAACTGCAGCAAGGTTTTCAGTAACAGGTACGTCCTTTGGTTGTTGGGGTGACCAGCAAAGGTGGGGGAAGAGACTTACTGGGTTTTAAATTTTCTGCTGAAATTATTATTGGAAATTTGATGGAAGGAAGATTAACAGGAGACAAACTATAGAAGAGGGATGGAGCTGGTTGTTCTGGTGGGGCAGCAGTGCTATATACGTTAAATTAAATTAGGGGAATAATTTAATTGTCCCAGCAGTAACATAGGCTACCTAAGGATCCATGTCAGACCCCCAGGTGGGGCAAAAGTAAAATAGTGTCCTAAAAAGTAGAGCTACAAGGGCAGGACTTCCAGCAGAGTGGGGACCTGCTCTCACCCTGTAGATCCACGTGGTGGCCATGACCATGCTGCACTGAAATTCAACGTGCCTGTCACTGTGGAAATGCCCTGAGCCCATGGTAGTACAGTTTAACCTTTAAAAAAGACAGCAATTTGAAATGAAAGGTTCAGCCAGAATTTAAAATCCTTCTAGGTGGCACAGACACAACACTGTGAGCTCAGCAGCTATCCCAGCAGTTGTAAAGCACTTCAGGGAAACCCAAGAGTAGAGGTGACAGACTGAGCAGTGGTGCTGGAGCAAGCAAGGGAGCAGAGGCGTGTCCTTCCAGGACATGTGAAATGTGAGGATGCAGGGAAGGGTGCCAGCTCTGATAAGCAAAATGTAAGAACTGAAGGAAAATCAACAGGAACAACTTTCTAGACGCAGTTAATAAAACAAACTTTTTCAAAGCCATCACCAGCCTGCCGGAGAGGGTGTGGAGGAAACGGATGAGTGCAGCACATGCAAGACACTTAAAGATAAAGCCAGAGCAGAAAATGTGGCTGAACTTTGTGTCCCTGTTTACTGGATGCTTTCCTTATGGGAGCTGGATCAGAGGAATTTTCTGTGACTGAAATGTCAATAGAAACGGCTGTAGGACAAACAGATAAAACAAACAGTGACGAATCACCAGGACCTGATGGTGCTGAGCAAAGAAGCCCAATGGGAAATGGCTGGACTGGCACTGGCAGCATCTATCCACACATCTATCCGCACACCTCTGCTGCTGGCGAGCAGAGGAACGGCAGGTGACATTACCGTTTAAAAAGCAGCTGGTCAGTGCATTGGGGTGATCAAAAATAAATGGAAGGAGGGTGTGGAAGGACAGAGGGAAAAATTTGTTATGCCACTTGCATGAGCTGACACGGGCAGGACACAGGAACAACCACAAAGAACCACGGATAAAATGCAAAGAGCAGGTTTATTCTCGTTACCTCGTGAGCCGGGGGATCTCTGCAGCAGCTCCCGGGGCAGAGGCACGTGAGGGGGAATGCAGGCACCGTGGAGCTCGGTCCTTGCCAGAGTGAGAGCGAGAGATTCCAAACCTGCCTCTCTTGCCTGTGTATTAAGGATTTCGTTACAGGCTGTAGTTTTCCACTGTGCTTTGATCTTTCTCACAGCAGGGCAGGAATCTCAGGCATGTCTAGGATGCCCTTGAGTCTATCACAGGCCTGTGTTCTCTAAGGCAGATGCTCTACTTGTCAAGCACTAAACAGCCATTAGCAGTGTGATGTAGGTGTTTTTCGACACCCCAGGTGCAAGTCGCTTGAGCATGTTTACAGTCCTCACCCATCTGCCGTTACGTTCCCACACTGCTCTATCGATCTGTGGTCTCTGGACTTCTGCATGTGCAGCCTTTCTGTGGCAGCAGCACCGAGCTGGAAAAGCTGGAGAGGAGGGGATGAGTGGAGAGAGTCCTTCCTCGGGAGTAGGAGGCTAGACAGGCTTTTGGAGAATCATTGAATGTTGTGAGTTGGAAGGACCCACCAGGATCATGGAGTCCAACTCCTGTCCTTGCACAGGACAATCCCAACATTCACACCATGACCCTGAGGGCCTTGGCCAAATGCTGCTGGAATCTTATCAGGCTTGGTGCCATCAGCACCTCCCTGGGGAGCCTGTTCCAGTGCTCCACCACCCTCTGCCTCGAGAACCTTTTCCTCATGGCCAACCTAAATAGAATACAAATATATCAAATAAATTTAATACAAGTATATTAAAATACACACGGTTTTAGGTCACATTTTTTAAACAAGGTGACCCCATGGTGGACGCTAGAGGACCCATTTGATGTCTCAGTACCCAGATGACACAGGGGACGACTTCAGCTTCTCCTCATACCCTTCCCCTCTAACCCCTTCCCCAATGTTGTGGTGTCCTCTGGACAGAGGAAGGTGAGCTGGGATACAAGAGATCAGCAGCTCACAGCTGAAATGGAGGGGACTGGGGAATGATTCCTTCTGTCTTGGTCCTGAGTGGGCAGTGAAACGCTCTGATGGTTTCCAGCAGGCAGCAGGAAGCTCTGCTTCACGCGGGGTTGGCTCGGCTGCTGGTAGAGCTGCCACGGGGAGATGGAGGCCAAGTTACAAATGGGCTCTGTACAGCAGTAACACAAGGTGGGGTTAGGAGCTGCTGGATGCGACCCTGCACGTGTTACTGGCACTTGCTGGGAGCCAGATGACTATTCCCCAAGGAGAAGCCCCTTCAGAGTTGGTAAATTTTGACCCGACTTCCTGCAAACATCCCTACAGCCATGGCTTCACATCCTATTGCTGTATTTCCTTGTGTGGAGCCTCTGCTTCCCAGTTTTATCTGGGAAGAGTCTCCCAGCTCTGCTGGGTTCCCAAACACAAGCTGGCTCCTGTGAAGGCCAGCTCTGCCGTAGGGGAGAGCTCCCTCACACTCCGTGGAGCTGGATCTGCACAAGCCTTTCACAATCCATGGCAGCTGGGTTGCAAACAGCTGCCTGGTGACTGGGCTGGAGGGTCTTGGGTCTGTGGGTCTTGGGTGTGTCATCTGCCAGGCTCCCTGTGGAAAGTGCTGCAGCAGTTCTCTGCCTTCACCCCAGCTCTGAGGGGCTGTGAGCAGCAGAGCAGAGACCCTGGTCCTCTCATCCCCAGGATGTAAACACTGATGCTACATACAGTATTGCTGCAGCCTCTGGTTTTGTTCCAGGCTTCTTGGGACCCTTGTCCTCAGCCTTCAGCACCTGATGACATCTGGGAGGCTGATCCTCCGGGAGGCCCTTGTCGACAGGAACCACAAAGTCACCGGTGTAAGTTCTCTGTGGACAGCCTGACCAGCAGCGATCTGGAAGGCTCTGTGGGAAACCTTCTGTGGTGCTTCCCAGGTGGATTTGGGCCTGAGGGGAAGTCTGAGGTGCTGCTTTGAGCCTGGGAGTGGTGTGGTGTTTTTGCCCTCTCTGTGCAGGGGTGCAGCCACTTCACACCCATCAAGTGGTTCTAGGAGCATCTAGAAGTGTGTGGGGTTGGCTGGGGGCCCTGGAGACCCACCGAGGGCCTGGATGAGCATAGGGAGGCTCAGTAAAACCTCCCCAGTCTGGGAAATGGATGCAGGAGGTGGTTTTTCATCTGCAGTGTGTGGGCGTGGGCTGCTGCAGGGTGTGAAGCAGAGGGGAACTGACAGGTGAGGCTGAAGGTGGCAGGGTTCCTCAGGACCTCTGGTGAGCTTTGGAGTTAAACATCAGTGCTAACTGGATGGCTGAACCATGGTCCAGGCAGCGTGAGCGGCTCTCGATGCCTGCCTGCCCCTCTGCTCTGTGCTGTGTGTCCCCCTCCCCTCCTCAGAACTCACTGGGCACTTTGTGCTGCTGGAAAATGAACATGACCCAGGAATGAAGTTTGCTGCCAGCTGGGTGTGCGGGCACAGTTCAGCATGTGCTGGAAAACCAGGGCTGGGTGCTGGGGCTGTGGGCAGGGCCAGAGGAGAAGAGGTGGAGGGGAACAGCCCTGCTATGTGCTGCGCCCCTGTTTGCCCTTCCCATGGGCAACCTGACTCATGCTCATGGTGGCAGGTGGGATGCAGCTCTGTGGCCACCAGACTACAAGCCTGAGTGGCACAGGCACGCCTTTGCCATGTGGCTGAGCTGACTGGATCAGGGAGCAGATCCAGGTGGAAACCAAGAATTTCCAGCATGACTTTTAGACCAGTGCAGCTCACTACGTAAGTGTTTGTGCCAGCAAAGGGACAGGGACTAGACCAACCCTTTGGTCACACTCCATGCTGGTGATGGTTTGAGGGGACCAAGCCAAGGGCACTTACATCACTGTGAGGTCAGAGCTGCTCTGCAGCCCGACCCTTTGCCCCTGGCTGCCTCTTCCCTGTGCTAACAGCAGTGCTCATGCTGATGAGCTGCTCCAACCAAAAGCCAACAGCATTTGGTTCTGCCAGGTGAGTTTTTGACTGTGCAGCCCTGGCTGCACAAGGGCTGCAGGGGACAGGAATAGGGCAGACCCATCCAAGAGCAGCCTGAGACCCTCTCAGCTCAGCTGGAAAGATGGAAACATAAACATGTCCCCAAGGGAGAGAGGCTGTTTCAATCCGTGTTCCTTTAGCAAAGTGGGAACAAAGCCCTTCCTTCCATTCCAAGTCCTGTTCTTCTCTGGGACTTGAGTTATTTGCACCTCTTTTTTCTCTTGATGGTCTGAAGGATTTTTTTTCAGCACCTCAGCTACTCCTCCAGCTTTATCTCGGGCTTTGGCATCCATCCAGCTTTTGCTGCTGCCTTTCCTGGCCGCTGCACTACTGCTTTCTTGGGCTGTATTTCTTCTGCCAGAAACGTGTGTTTTCCAGGGACTGAGCTGTGAACCCAGCTTGCACATCCCCTTCAGCCTATTGAGAAGTCACCTCCTCCATGACTCTGATCTTGGCCTCTGCTTGGAAATTCTTGTACATTTGTGTTGATCTGAGATCAAGCAGACCAGGTGTTTTCAGACCCGTGCTGGCTGTGCTGATACCCCACATGCCCCGTACTCCTCTGGCCGTCCTTCTTCATCACTAACACGAAGTCAATGTCTCTTGTGATGCAGACTTTGAGTGTGCTTATGGCTTCTGTGATGTTTTAAACCAAGCTGTCATGCCTGGGGATGCTCTCCCAGCATTCTCATGCCTCTCCCAGAGAGACTGCTCCAAACCCCTGCATGCTGGTTCGCTCTGCTGCAGGGCTTTCCCCACTTCCCTTGTCAGAAGTGCCCTGAGATGGCTCTCAGGGGCCTCTCCATGGTATATTTTAGTTTTGGAAACTTGACCCAGCTTTTATTCAGTGAATCCTGGAGTCTGGGAAGCTGTTGGGGAGGGACTTTGGTTAGTTCTAGCTTGTTGGTGGAGGCAGACAAGGAAAGTCTGGTATAAATAGGCTTCCTGTGGAGTTGTGATCCCCTTACTTCCCCCTCTTTTCCACAGCATTTAACTTCTTTTATTCTTCCACGCTCCCCTTCCCCTTTTCCATGACATTTCAGCAGTTGTTTTGTGGCTGCCAAGCTCTCAGACAGTTTTGTTTTCTGTTTGTAGATCTACATTGAGTTGGATTTGCGCTACCAGCCTCCAGATGGCTCAGCTGGGACCTGGGCTGAAGAGGACTTTGTCTATCAGATGAAAGACAGGTACTGAAATCCTGGGAGGAGCAAATATTGGGGCAGCCTGTGCAGCTGCCTTGACCAGTGGCAGCCTTTGGGATGCAATCCAGCCTCTTTTACTCTCCACCTCTGGCCAGGCTGATGCATCTCTGTTCTACAGCAGCAATAAGTGAGCAGGGCTCTTGGAAAGAAAATACCTTGTCTTCACAAAGAGCCCATGACTGCAAGAACCCACAGCACCCTGGCAATCCTTCCAGACTTGAGTGCAATTCTGCAGTGTTCCTGGCTGACGGGAGCAAGACACTGTGGTTGCAAAGTTGCAGAGAGTGTGGCTTTGGACTGTAGCAGCCCCAGGCACCCTGCACGCAGGTGGTGCCCAAAGCCAGGGGAGATGTGGATATGTGGGCAGACAGGATGATGAAAAGGTCTGAGGGGTGTCCTTTCTGGAGTGCCAGAGGCAAAGCAGCAGGCACGCAGGGCAGACGGTAGGAAAGCATTGCTGAGCAGGATGCTGGTGTCCCTGCCAAGAGCCAGGCAGGAGCACGGCTGTGGCACTGTTAGATGCATCACTGAACAGCCACAACACTCTTGTTTTTTTTCAGCAAAATATCTGTTTTTCTTACAGCTCGGAGTTAATAATCCGCAATCCTGGATTCGAGGAGCTGGAGTAAGTAGCCCTACTTGAGTGTATCATCAGCTCACCCTCCTGGGTGGAGGGGGACACACAACCCGCGCGGCAGGGCTGGCACTGGGGTGTGTGACAGGACGGTTTGCAGGGCAGCCGAGGGGCCGAGAGCGAGGGACCTGGACAGGAGGGCTGCTGCACTGGGCAGGAAGCTGGCGAAAGGCCTGGAGACTGATGAGGAAGAGGAAGAAGAGGAAGAAGATTTCTACGATGTGTCTGAGATGGAGGTCTCGGGCATTGTCTTCAGCCCTGTGAAGAGGTATCCATGGTGTGCTCTTCTCTCTTGCCCCTGCTTGGGTCCTGGAGTGGAAGGTGCCAGCTCATGGGGCGATTTCTGGGGGAATCCTGCATCTCTTGACATTCTGCTTCTGCAAAATGTCAGAAACCTTCAATCTCCAGTGGCCCCAAACAGGGACTGTTGGGGATTTGCTTGTTCCCAGGGCAAGGAGCCATTATTTGCCAGGGTTTCCATTGCTTCCCTTGGTGGGGGCTTGCTCAGGTCCATGTCGATGAAGATACCTGCTCACCAGGCTTGTTTTTCTGTGCAGCCGCTCCAGACTTTGCTCCGCACGGGACCTCTTTGCCACCCCAACCCCTCAGAGCTTCCAGGTACGTGGGGTTGGGTGCGTGTCCCTACAGCTGCCTCTGGCCCCGTGGCTGATCCCTCGCTGCCTTGCTGCAGGCCTGGGCTTCTCCAGCTGCCACATGTCCTGGTGAGGTGTCTGGAGCGAAGGTGCCTTCTTGCTTTGTGTGGCTTCCCTGGGCAAGGTGGGGGGTTCCATGAACGATCTGTATCCATGAGTGCTGGCTCCAACATCAGCCAGCCCAGAGCAGAATTTCTTTTTGGGCCATGTGGATATGGATATAGAGGAGAAGGGAATTGGCCAGACAGCCACACATGCCACTGCAAAACACTGCCTGAGCAGAGCTTTGGAGAGCACCCAGGCAGGGCTGGTGCCTGCCAGCTTCCCCAGGGCCTTGCCTGGGCCCCCAGGGACATCTGTGGGACATGGCTGAGGGTGGAGGGCTGCTGCAAGGGCTTTCTTGGAGATGCCAGGAGGCTGGTATGAAGCTGTGGTGCTGGCCAATGCTCTGACATCAAGTTTATTTGAAAGTACTGTGAAGTTTGGAAATGGAGTTCAGTCCCATCTTCTGCCCTTGAGATTTCAGGGCAGATCTCCCAGCCTGGCTGTGGATTTAAACCCTTTCCTGGTTCTAAGTAAATGTGGACTCACATTTGGGTCTCCTGCTTTCCAGGGCTGGGTCCTGTCCACCACACAAGAAGCTTTTGTGAGGGGTGGAATTGCCTACCATCCTTTTCTTGAAGCTATTATTCTTCACCTTAACAACTGCCTAGTTACTTGTACTGAGAGCAAATGTGAGAACCTTTCTCTCATGTCCTGTACCCGTAACCAGTCACAGGAAATGAGGCAGCCACATTCCAGTCTTTCCAGTGGTGTCCATCTCAGTAGGATTCAAAGAGAAGTACTGACAGAAGATACAAAAAACATCTTCTCCAGGATGCTCTGTGAACCACACCGTGTGGGAGCAGTGGGTTTGCATCTCCTTGGGATCAGGAACTGAGTGGGGACAGTGCTGCTGGGGGGACAGTGCCACTGGGGAGGGCCACTCCTGTCAAAGGTGCTGGGGATTTAACACTTCATTTCCTTGCTTGTCTGAAAGAAACTAATATCTCAAATAGCAGTTTGGATTGTCCTGGCTATAGCAGATTTCAGCAGCCATGCTCTTGCCTGCCCTGAGCATCCACCCCTGCGGTGAGAGGGCCCTGCACATTGGTGTCCTGGTATTGCTGAAACAAGCTCAGGATGGAGTTGCAATCAAGGAGAGTGCTGATGCGAGGGTTTTCTCCCACATTTTCTCAGGTTGGGATTAATATCATTGAAGCACAGAAGCTGGTGGGGGTGAACATTAACCCCTTTGTGGTAGTCAAGGTTGGAGAGGAGAAGAGGCACACGGCAACGCAGAAGTCAACAAACTGCCCCTTCTACAATGAAGTATGTGATATGGACAGAGGCTCTGTTCTTGCCCTACCAGTGTCCCAGGTGGCTGGGCCATCCTTGCAGGGATGCTCGGGATGCAGCTGCTCTCAGGCAGAGGCGCTTGTGGGGCCATGTTGGGAGCCTGGGGCTCAACCGTCTTCCTCTTCTCTTTCAGTATTTTTTGTTTGAATTCCATGAGCCAAAGGACATTTTATTCCACAGACTCATAGAGATCTCAGTAAGTATGTTCTCCTCTTTATCCTTCGTTGGTAACTGGTACAGCCCAGCACTTCTGCGTGTGGATGCTGGGAGTGATGGGCAAAGCAAGGCTGCCAGGACCAGGCAGGTTTTCCAGCCAGAGGCATCTGCACTGCAGAGAGACCAAAGGGCCTTCCTGTGGTGGGGCAGAGACCTGGCCCCACTCTGAGCTAGTGCTGGGTAGTGCTGCCTTCCCACCTCCTCCATGTCAGGTCTTCTCTGCATCCAGTAGTTGGAGTGGGGCCTCTGAAGCAGTTTCTTGCCTGTTGCCTTGCTGTTACACTTTTGTGGGTGATTCCATGCTTCCCCTTACCCTGGAGCCTCATCCTACAGGTTGTGGGGATGAGTGACTGGTGTGAGGAATGTTCAGCAGTGATCTGTGCTTGTGGAAAAGCCCAGGTTGGCAGAAAGCAGTCTTCAAAAATCCCCTGGCCCAAAATGCAGGGGTTTCTCCAAGACATGGGACTTTTCTGAAGATAGCTAAACCCAGCCAGCACCTCCTTTGCAACATGATCTCCAAAGGACTTTCCCTTTGAAAGGCTGCATGTCCCTTCTGCTGGTGTGGGTTCAGCGAGCACCAAACAAGGCTCAGGTTTTGGGAGAGACACTAGCTTGGTGAGGGCATGGCTGTGCCCTGACCCAGCAGGATATGGTCCTAGGACTCCTCGTGGGAAAGCAGGTCTGCCCTTGGTCCCCTTGGTCATAGGGGTTTGACTTATCTGGGGCTGGCAGAAGTTGTTGAATTAGTTGCACATGAATTTGCCTTGGCCTAGGTTTGACTAAGTTTGGCTGGTGGGCTTTGTGGGAATGGTTGGGCAGAAATGGGTTTGTCCCAGGGCTGACTCAAATGGGTCAGTGTGTGTGAGGAGCTTGTAACTGCTGCCTGAACTGTGCGATGGAACGGACATCTCTTAGCAGTCCTGTCCTGCTCAGAGATGTCTGGATGTGTCACCTGGCTGCCCACATCTCTTGGTGCTAAGGGGGATTATTTATGCTGTTTGCAGGTTTTTCATGCAAAGAAGATACCGTTCCTGGGAACATGCATAGGAGTGTTCAAGATGGACGTTGTGACGGTGTACAGCCAGCCAGGTGTGACTGATGCATTGTGTTACCTGCTCCCTCACCCTGGCTTCGTCTGAAACTGATGTTTCCTTCACGCTGTGCTGGGTCTGTTGAGGGCTCTGTCTTTAAAGCACTTGGCTCACATGAGGGCCAACACTTGCTTCTCCTGGCTGTCTGAGGGCTGGTGACACGTCCTGGTGACTTCAGAGGCAGGGTCAGGGGATCTTTGTGCAGACGTAGTTGGGATGTGAAATGGTAACCTGGGCTCTCCACAGGGAACTCCTTCCTTTCCCTCTCAGATCACAGGTTTTTCCAGAAGTGGGCAGTTATCAGTGACCCCACGGACACCCGGGCAGGTGTGAAAGGCTTTGTCAAGTGCAACATCTCTGTCACCGCACGTGGGGACGTTGTGGGCTCCCTTCCCACCTCCTCCAGCAGCCGGGATGAGGACATTGAAAGGTAGATGCAGTGTGGTCTTGCGTGGCCCTGGGGAAATCAGCCATGGCTCTCTTCACACTACTGCTTTTTTTGCCTCATTTTTCCCTCTTCTGATGGGGAAAGACCTATGGAAAGAGACCTGTGATAGGGCAGGATCCAAACCTCCTGCCGTCGTGTTTCCTGGGCTCCAGGAGAGAGCCAGAACATGAATTTGTCTTTCAGGAACCTGCTGCTGCCTAAGAGAGTTCCTGCAGAAAGACCCTGGGCCAGGGTCTGCATCAAGCTGTATCGTGCTGAGGGCCTGCCCAGCATGAGCGCGGGCATCATGGGTGGTTTCTCCAAGATCATAGGGGAGAAAAAAGTCTTTATTGACCCATACGTGCAGGTCTCGTTCTGCGGGCAGCAGGTGAGTGCCAGGGGGGTCTGTGTGGGGCCGGACTGATCCTCCCTTGACTGTGCACCAGCGTGTGCTGGGCTGATGCTGCCAGGAGCCTGCATGGGACACGGCAATCCCACTGGAGACAGGCTGGGAGAGCACAAGTCTTGCTGTCTTTGGCAGTGGCCTCAGTCATGTGGCGGTGGTGTCTGGATGAGAAGGCTTTTATGAGACTTTGGTCTCTGCAGAGAGCTACACGGGAGACAGCCCCAGCCCTGAGCACAGCCACTGGCTGAGCTCCTGGCTGTGCAGGCAGAGATTTCATATTTGTAACTGTAGAGAGAGGGTCACATAAATAATGGAATCCCAGACTGGTTTGGGTTGGAAGGGACCTTAAAGGTCATCCAGTCCCAACCCCCCTGCCATCAGCAGGGACACCTTCCACTAGACCAGGTTGCTCAAAGCCACGTCCAGCCTGGCCTTCAACACTTCCAGGGAGGAGCATCAACAACTGCCTTGGGCAACCTGTTCCATTGTCTGACCACCCTCACAGTGAAGAACTTTTTCCTAATATCCAATCTAAACCTCCCCTCTTTCAGTTTAAACCCATTTCCCCTTGTTCTGTCATTAACTGCCCTTATGAAAAGTCCCTCCCCAGCTTTCTTGTAGGCCCCCTTCAGAAGTCCTCTGGGGCAAGCTGGACTCAGCCTGACACCCTTGGGAGAGTTTACTGAGCTAATGGCCCTTTTCTTGCACCCAAGGCCAGGGTTTCTGGTTATGTGATATCCATTAAGGTGAGAATCAATCCCTGGGCATCCTGGTGGGCCTGAGGGTGCTCCCAGGGGACCCTGCAACACCTCTGGGTCTGGTGGTGCTGCCCATTTACTTCCAGTGTTTCCCTTGGCTGTGTGGGGCATGGCCAGGGCCGTGGGACAGCCCCTCCTTGATGAAGCACAGAGAGCAATTGCTGGGACAGGAGCAGGGATGCTGTCACCTCCAGAGCCTGCCCAGGACTGTCTGCAGGCGGGACGGGAGAACATGCCATTCCTAGAGAGGCTCTGAGACATCCCTTGCTCTGGCTGCTGGCTGAGACCACAGGGCTTTCACGCTTTCTCTTTCCCAGGGGGAAACGTCAGTGGAGACCAACACCACTGAGCCTGAGTGGAACGAGCAGATCAGCTTCATTGAGATGTTCCCGCCTCTGGCCAGGAAGATAAAAGTCCAGGTGCTGGATGATGCCAATGTTGGTGACGTGGCCATCGCTACACACTACATTGACCTGCAGCAGATCTCGGACCCTGGCAGGAATGGTGAGGCCTAGGGGCATGGCTGCCCCTAGGGCAGGGGGTCCTGGGTAGCCCCATGCCACACACCCTCTGCTCAGCCATGGTGGTCTCTGGAGGTGGGAAGCAGGAGTGACCAAAGCATGCTCACATCCCTGTGTCCTGAGCTGTCTTCTTGGGGTGGGGGTCTCTCTGCAGCAGCACCGTGTGGTGTAATTAGACCCTGTCCCTGTCGCTGCAGGCTTTAACCCCACGTTTGGCCCAGCCTGGGTGAACCTCTATGGCTCCCCCCAGAACTCGACTCTGCGGGACATCCACAAGGACCTCAACGAGGGCATGGGTGAGGGGATCTTCTACCGTGGGCGCATCCTCATGGCCATCACGGTGGAGATCTTCAGCAGCCCCAGTGTGGCAGAGAGGAAGCTTGGGGACAAGACAAAAAGTGCCCTCAGCAAACTGAAGCTGAAGAAGAAAAGTAAGAAATCCAAGGAGAAAGCCAAAGAACTGATCCAGCTGCAGGGAGAGGAGGAGGCTGAGGGCTCTCAGGAGACTGAGCAGCCTGGGGAAGTCACTGTGGAGGTGGAAGAGCTTCATCCGCTCCCTGAGGTGAGTCCTGCCATGCTGGTGTGGCTGACCCATGCCAGCCTGTGGCATGCACAGACCTCCTGGGGAAGAGGCAGTGGGATCACTTGCTGGTGTAACAGAGCTGGAGCAAACCCAGCCTGCTCATTGCTGGGCCATCCAGGGCTCTCTGAGCCTCTGCAAGGGCTGAGACCACACTTGCAGCCCCAAAACTGCCTCCCAGGTGTACTGCGAAGCATCCCCACATGAGCTGCCTCCCTGGTTCAGGGGGCTCTCACCTGGGTGTTATTCCCAGGGCACAGCTGCCTTTGTGCATGTACTTTTTCTCCCCTGGAGCCAGGGAGCTGTTAGCTGTCTCCATGTCTCCACTTAGCCTGGGAAAGGCAGGCAGGATGCGGCTCCATTGGTGCAGTAACCTTCCCTGAGCCTACAAACCTGCTCAGTGCCTTCACACAAGCATCAGCCAAAGCCATGGCTCTGTACCAACCCCCTGGGATTTCCAAGAAAACTTGTCCTGTGTCTGGCAAACCAGCAGTGGTGACCTCAGCAGCATCCCACTGATATCCCTTGGCAGGGCTGGTGGGCATCGGCCATGCCCTGATGCTCTCTGAATTTCTGCTGAGGCAATGTTTTGGTACCTGAGGCTCTTGGGCTGATTTCTGTCTCCTTGCTCAGAATGCGTTGGGGAGGAAGGAGGAATTCCTTCTCTTCGCTGCCTTCTTTGAAGCCACTATGATGGACTCCTCCCTCAGCTCCAAGCCCGTCAGCTTTGAGGTCTCTATAGGTGGGTATTCCCTAGGGCCTCATGTCCGAAAACTACGGGAACAGTGTGAATCTCCCTCTGACAGCCCAAGTTAACACAATGGTCCTAAGGTGCCAGCCCTTGCACAGCTTGTGCCTCCAAAACAGGAGCTTAGGAAGGATAAGAATGAGGCCAGGGAGTGCACATGGTGCTCTAATTACCTTGAAAGTCTGGATGCTTTCCTGTGGGATTGAAGATTTGCAGTATTTGTCTGAACAGCCTGTTTGGGGAGAGTGGTTGAAGCTCTCCTGGGAAGTGGGGGTAAAAAGAGGTAGAAGAGTTTGGGAGCAAGAAAGGGAAGCAAAAGAAGGGAAGCTGGGATACTGGGGTTGGCCATTTGGTGTTGAGGGGCTGTGACAGCAGGTGATGGGGAAACCATGATAGGAGAGAAGATCCAAGCCCCGTGCTAAGCTGGATGGGTAGAAATGCTTGATGCTGACAAGTCTTCCTGAGTGACTGCTGCTGACCCCAGTGCAGGGCTGTAGATGGCAGTTAGCAGGCACTTGGAGGAGCTGGAGGAACTTTGAAGGTATACACAAGGACTTCCTTGCAATTGCGCAGCTCCCTCTCAGACCTCTTGGTTTTGCATGTGGTGCTCTGGTGGTTGGATGCTATGGAACTACTAGTTCCAAAAGCAGTGCATGCCCATGTGCTTCTCTTGGCAGGATGATTGCACTCTGATTTTGCAAGCTAGCAAACTTGTTTAACAGTCATCCCACTTATCTATTTAATGTTTAATGCTTAACTTCAAGGAAACTATGGCAAAGCTGAAGAGGTTGTGACCAAAGTATGGAGAAAAGTGGGAAAGGGAGAAGTGAAAGAAGAAAAGCAGCCTTTGCTGGACTCGGGTTCAGATGGTGAGCTGGATGTTGAAGTCCTGGCCCCAGCTTCAGCAGCACTGAACAAGTCAGTGACGAAGAGCCAGAGACCAGAGCCCATGGAGTATGACAGGTGAGTCTTCTTCATCCTTCTTTCCCACTTGCCCTGGTCCTGCCCCAGCTTCCCAGGTTGGTTATTCCAGATGTTACTAGAGGTCTGCTCAGCAGTGTGAGTGCTGTGTAGGTGTTTCTCTTTGCAACCCTGCAGCTTGCCATGGCCTAGCTTGCCTGCTGCCATTGCCCATTAGCCCTACAGACCCTACAGTGTCTGCTTGATGTGTGCAGGTGGCCAAGGACAGGGTCCCAGGGAAACTGTGACCCATCAGTAAGAGCAGTCCCTTTTCTGATGAACAAGCAGCATCTTGAGTGCTTGATTCCACTGAGGAGGAAGGAGGAGTACTCTGGCACATGCTGTCCTATGTTGGGCAGGCAAGACACATGCACAAGCTCTTCTGATGACACGTTTGCTCTGGGAATGGTGTCTGGTTTGTCCCACAGGCCTGGCAATGTCTTGGTGTTTGTGTTGTGATCCCTGTGCCTGCTACTACTTGGCCCCATAGCAGCAAGAAATCTTGGCAGGGTCCCACGATCCCATCCACCTCGTTGGTCTGGGCATGTGCTGCTCTCTGTGCTAGAAACCCTGTGCGGTAGTTTGGGATGGCAAAGGGCAGATCCAGCAGCTTGCATCCATGTCTGTGGTGCAAGGCTGGTTCTCTGCAAGGAGGACAGAGCCCAGATGCTGCTCCCTGTGCTGAGTGTGCACGCGCTGCGCTGAGACATGGCATGTGCTTTCTGCAAACAGCAGCTGTCACCTCCTGTGCCTGCTGCCCTTAGGTCATACAGCTGCCTGCCCATGACGCATGAGAAACCCTGCGTGCACGTGTGGAGCTACTGGGAGGATCACACCTGGAGACTCTGCATTTCCAACTGGATTGTTAAGCTGGCAGAGCGCCTGGTATGTGTTCAGGGCGTCTGGCTGCGGCACGGTCCTTCCTGGTGTGCTTTCCTTGCAGCACGTGCAGTTGCTCTGTGAGACATTTGCCTTAAACATCCTCACTCCCCGTGCAAGTCCGTGTCTCTTGCAGGACTCAGTCCCACCTGCTCTTCAGACATGGGTGGTAGTGCAGTGAGTGCAGAGCCACTGCCTGTGCTGTGCTGCAGCTTGGGGTGTCTGCTGGAGGTGTGAGTGACATGAGGTCTGTGACAAAAAGCTCCTGAGCTGCATGTACACTGGGGAGATGCTGCCACAAGCAGACTCCCAGCCCCAGGCTGTCATCAGGAGGGTGCGGCCTCTTCCCAGGGCTTCAACTTTCCCTTTTGGGCTTAGAAATCCAAAAGCAGAGCTTGCCAGTGTGTTTCAGTGACTGCTCAAGGACTGAGACACAAGGTGTTGTAACAGCCAGTGTTAAGGTTCTCCCCAGCTCCGGAGAGGCCCGAGCAGCACAGTGCTGACCTGCAGCACTCTCCTGATCCCCAGCTCTGCAGAAGAGCACAAACCATTTGTGGCAAACGTGTGCTCTCAATGTTCCACTCTGACCCTGCAGCCGGGTGCAAGCTGCCTGAACGCTGTGATTCCCTCACAGGAGCAGGGGCTGGATGACGTGGAGAAGCTTATGAGAAGGCCAAAGGCAAAAGCAGAAGAGCGGCTCAGAGAGGTGCTGGAGGAATTTGTAGCTGGATGCAGGTTAGCATGTCCCTGGTTTCTTAAGGTTTCTTGTTTTTACATTAGGAGGTCATATCCCATTCTGCCTGGGCTGTGTGCACCCTGCTCTCTCATCCTCTTGAGGCAGATGAGCAGAAGGAAACCAGGACGATCTGGGGAAAGGACCCTGTAGCTCCTCAAGCTTGGAGAGGAGACCCCAGTCCTGGGAAGCATCAGGGTCACAGACTGCAGCCTTGATGTTCCTGGACTCCTGGGTGTTTCTTAAATGTTAGGACATTTCCTTCACTCTCTTCAGTCATGCAGACAAGGAACTAGTGTTTCAATCACTGCAACTGCCCAGAGAGGTCCTGTACACACTTTGGTCCCCAGCTTTGTGATGGTGATAGTAGAGAGGGAACCCCAGGTACTGAGAAATACCTTCCAAATCAAAAAGCTTGCAGAAGGGAGGGCATTGCAGAAAGGGGGTTTCTGATTCATCCGGTTTAGAAGCAGGATTTGGAGCCTGTGTCCCTGCTGTGTGAGCTGAGCTCTGCCTGCTGGGTGCTGGCGATGCAGAGCCTGTGCTGCTTTTCCATTGCAGGCAATATTCACTCAACTCGGAGAGAAAAATAATGGCACATCCAAACAACCTGGACAGATGCCGGATGAAATATCTGATGCGCAACATCGTAAGCTGTGGGGCTTGGTGGTGGTGGTGGGAGCCCATATGATCCCCACTCTGGGGAGTGTTTCTGGAGGACCAACTAGAATTGATGCAAGGAAGGAAATTTGAGGTTATGAATCATGTTATCAGCCATAGGCTTTTACTTCAGCATCTCCCACTTCTGCTGAGAGCAATACAGCTTCTAGCACAGGGAGCAGAGGCAGGAACTGGCCATGGCTGCCTCCAGTTTTCTGCAGATGCTGTGCCCAGATGTCATCCTTCCCCTTCTGTGGGGCATGTGTGGCTGAGCATGTGCATGTTGCTGCCCAGGAGGTTGCTGGGGGCCTTTTGGTGCAGGTTGTTCCTTCAGGCAGTTTTGGGGGAGCTCACAGAGTCCTACTGCCCCTGGATACTCAGCCCGTAGGCTGGGTACCCATCCAGGAGACCTACAATAGCCATCCATCTGCCTGTCCCTGGAGAGGGCAACATCTAGGTATTCCCAAGCCAGCAGAGAAGGCCAGCTAGCTGAGTGAGAGCACGGTGACATCCCCTCCATCACAGCACAGCAGAGCACGGCTGGAGTCTTAGTCCCCATCAGACTGTAAAGCTTTGAAAGGTTGAGATCAAAACGCCATGACAGCAGCAGGTAATAAAATTTAGGCCTGTCTGAGTCCCAACTCCCTTTTCTCTGCCTCCCTGCACATCATCACCTGACCTGTGTATGGTAAAGGTGAGTCTGAGACTCTCTGAAAGACAGAACCAGCCCAAGAGGTGAGTTTTCTGGCCTTGTCACAGAATCCCAGACTGGTTTGGGTTGGAAGGGACCTTAAAGCTCATCCAGTCCCAACCCCCCTGCCATCAGCAGGGACACCTTCCACTAGACCAGGTTGCTCAAAGCCTCATCCAGCCTGGCCTTCAACACTTCCAGGGAGGAGCAGCCACAGCTTCTCTGGGCAACCTGGGACACTGTCTCACCACCCTCACACCAAAGAATTTCTTCCTCACATCTCAGCTCCATCTCCCCTCTGCCAGTTTCAAGCCATCACCCCTTGTTCTCTCACTCCCTGCCCTTGGCCAAAGTCCCTCCCCACCTTCCTGGAGCCCCTTCAGGTACTGGGAGGCCACTAGAAGGTCTCCCTGGAGCCTTCTCTTCTCCAGGCTGAACAGCCCCAATTCTCTCAGCCTGTCCTCACAGCAGAGCTGCTCCAGCCCTCGGGTCATCCTTGTGGCCTCCTTTGGACTCGTTCGAAGAGGTCCATGTCCTTTCTTGTGTTGGGGGCTCCAGAACTGGA